CAGGGTCCTCCACATCCTCCAGAGCCGACTCATAGGGCCCCTCGCTGTCGGAGTCTGGTGGCAGCTCCAACGGCTCCTGCTGGGCCACAACACGTATCTATTTGCCTTCTAATAGGTATTTTGTGAGTGGCTTCTAACCTAGACAACCACAAGGTTTTTCCAACCTTGGCAACTTTTAAGATATGTGGACTTCCCCAGAATTGCCCAGCCGACACTGGAAGTTGAAGTCCAATGTCTTAAAGTTGCCAAGTTTGAATAACACTGCACTAGATGAATGATCATGACAATACTTTTTGAAAGCATTCACCACACATTTTCAAAATTCAAGATTGCTTTAGTTAAAATAGCTGTAGAGATTAGAAACAAGGAACTGGTTGTGACAGGGAATATTAAGACGGTTGTTGAAGCTGGAAAGAACTTTTCTTCCTGTGCTCAAATCTAGAAATGACTAGATCAACTGAAAGGAACAGAAAGGTAGGTTTCCATAATTCTCTAAAAATTCCAAATTCAGTGTATCAAACACTTATTACTTCTACATTTATTTATCAGATTTATAATTTGCCATAATAAAAAAGACACTCAGTGGTGCATATTTTCACATTCTTACTAATCTGAAATTACAAAATCAATTACTTAAGTGTCCTTTTAAAAGAATCATCTATACTTTTAAGTTTATTATATGATAAACTATAACAATAAGCAAAGTTACGTATTACCAGTACATATTTTTGTTGAACATAAACAGCTTTCAATTTTCCCTAATATTATTTTTCTCACGGCAAACTAAAAAAGTCCATTTCCTCAACATTTTTGGAGATTTTATATCTCACGGTTAATTTCCTTGAACAGTTACTTAAGAATTTCAGTACAGGTAGTTCTTGACCTGTGACCACAACTGAGCCCCAAATTTCTGTTGCTAAGTGAAACATTTGTTAAGTGAGTTTTGCCCCATTTTATGATCTTTCTTGCCACCATTGTTAAGTGAATCAGTTACGTTAGTAACACGGTTGTTAAGTGAATTGGGTTTTCCCATTGACTTTGTTTGTCAGAACGTTGCAAACGTCATGATCCTGGGACATTGCAACTTCCATAAATATTGGGTTCAATTGTGGTTATAAGTCAAGGACTAACCTGTAGCATTTATTTTCTGGTGAGAGGGTTCTTAGGTGGCTGCCTGCATCTCCTTGTATTCCCGAACCACTCCCACTGAATTAAGCAAACCCTGACTCTTAACACCAGTCTTTGCACTGGATCAGTGGTGGGTTTCAAAATTTTTAGAACCTATTCTGTAGGTGTGGCCTGTTTTGTGGGAGTGGCTTGGGGGGGTCATGTGACTNTGCAATGGCCACAACTTTGAGGAACAGTCATATGTCTCCTTTTTCAGCATCAGCATCATCGTAACTTTGGACAGTCACAAATGAGCGGTTGGTGAGCAAGACCTGCTCACATCATTACTATAACTTTATTAAAACCTATAAAAACTATAACGTCATTTTAAGGTGAGAACTCTTTGTCTAAAAAAAAAATGGGTAATGTAGGGTTTTGTCTCCAGGCTCCTACGCGTATCATGTGAGGTTTCACTCTTTCCCTGTTTGGATGTAGCTAAGTAGGCATTGCCAATAATCCCCGTAATGTATTTCTGTATAAAAAATCTCCTTACTGCTATAAAAACTGCTTCACTAATCATTGCTTAAGTCAAATTTTTGCTCTTTGGAATTCTTGCATGGACACACAGCCTTCTTCAAGATACTTTGACTTCCTTAGCTAAGTCTTTCCCTCTCTGTTGTATTAAACAAAGGGGTTCTTGTGAAATTGTCAGCAAAGAATGATTTTAAAGGATCATCTTGGCGTTGTCAATGTATAATAACGTTCAGTATTATTCTTCTGAAGGATCTTCAGTTTGCTTTTTAAAAGGATAACCACCCACAATTTCTTGGTGATTGGATGAATGTTAACAGACATGAACACCAGTACTTGTTCATCATTCTTCCATTTGTTTTTAGGCAGAGGATCTCAACCGTTTCTCCAAGTTCATTGATTTTTATTCTGTGCAAATATGAGTTCTTTTTTTACACACACACACGGGGACTAACTATTCTTCCTTTTCTGCTGCCTCTGCGCCTTTCGATCAATTGTACCCTTCAGTGGCTGCATTCCCTTCATGGGAGTTATCCCACTAAATCTCTGTTACACTTATTAATTCACATTTGCCTTTCTTTACTAATAGTTCCAGCGAATTTTGTTTATCTCCCACACTGTGAGCAGCAGTGTATAGGAAATGAAAACCTTGAACTTTGTGAACCAATTTTCTTTCTGATTTTTCCCTGAGTGATTTAATAGCTCCCATTAGAACAACCCTCTTATTTCCTTCTGCAGAGTACAGATCTTTATCTGGAATTCTTTCCTCAGAGTTCTTGTTTTGTTTCCAAATCTCATAGTTGAAAACTCTCCTTATCAACTTGTTATGTTTGGGGCAACATGAATCAATATTTTTACTAGTCTTTGTGAGATTCAGTACATCCTGGACAGTAATCCACCATCCAGATAAACCGTGACCTTAGAAACTAAATTTCTGCTATATATACCATTGAGATAGCCAATAATTCACTTATAGGATTCTTTTTTTTTCTCCAAACAGCTTTCAAAAATTGATAGGATATATGAGAACATCTCTTGCACCGCTGTGCTCTTAAATTTCCTTCCTAAATCTTTAAAATTCATATTGATATGTCTGGACCTGTTCTTTGTTGCTTCATTCGTCTCAATATGGATTTGCAGGAAGGAATAACATAAATAATTTGATTATATTTGGAAGTTCTTTTGTTATTTNTGAATGCTGTGTTTTAATGATGTATTGTCTTATGTATTGTCTTACATGTTAAAAGTTTGTTTCCCCCCCCCCTTTCGAGTTGTAACCGGCCCTGAGTCCCCCTAGGGAAAAGGGCGGCATATAAATAAACTTCTACAATCTACAATCTACAATTATCATTATCCTTTCTTTATTTAACTATTTCCTATATCATAACATTTTCCCCCTATTAGTTAAAACTTGACTGTATCTAACGCTTCTGACATCTTCTAGGATCACCGCTGTCACCAGCTAAGGTGGCCACCCTCCTTTGGATCTCCTTTGGAGGTAGACCTGCCCCCCCCCACTCACTTCAGCAGGTACTTGTCCAGCTGGTGGGAGGGCACGAAAGCGCTGAGGCAGGAGGCCAACAGCAGCCAGCCCCGTTCTTCATTGTGGACATTGGTGTTCCGCCACACTTGGTTGGCAATCTGGGCCAGGATCTCGTCTTGCAGGCTCGGTGTGGAGAGCCCCTTCTGTACAATGTAGTTCCCAAACAGGTTCTCCTGGAGGCCGTTGAGCTGGGCGTCACCCATAAAGCGGAGGATCTGCCAGAGGGAAAATCCGGTCATCCCAAAAGACCACCCTACCACGAACGCGATGTTGATGGCCATCGTTTGACCAGGCAGGAGGAAGCAATTCGCCTTCACCTACCAACTTGAAGAGGTTTAGAGCTTCCGGGGCCAAACTCTCCTCTAATTGAGTCAGGGGGGATGTTAGAGTCCTCGTGAGCATCCCCCAGAGTGGCTCCTGTGGAATGACAGAGAAGTGACTGAAAGACTCCTTTGCACAGCCTTCTGGACAGAGACGGTGCTGGAGGTCCTATCCAGAGCAAGAAAGACAAGGGTTTCAAGACCCCCACAAGTGGGATTTAGCTTCAGTTGAGCTTAGAGTTTCCTTATGGATCCTCCAGTGGTTTCTTCTTGAGGGATAAACAACCAAGCTGAAATTATCATATTTTGGATGCATGAAGTCAACACCCAGATGACATAATTCTGGATAAGGTGGACTCAAGAAGAACTCTCGATTGGTTGATTGTTTATATGCCCTAAGTCAGTGTCTGTCAATTCTTACTCACCACATACCAAGATAATAAAATAGAATAGAATCTAGAGAGTGAGGGATGATCCCAATTGTTAAATAAAGTGAATTACGTAAGGAAGCATGAATCTACTCATGGTAGCTTGTAATCCAATGCAGGGTTATTAATATGTTTTGTTTTGTTTTGTTTTTCATTTTTTTTAATTTTAATTTTATCAATTTCATATATATATTCACAATTATATGATCTCATAACTGTTATTAATAATATGCATTTATAACAAT